TGATTAGATTCTATTAATAATATATTGTGTATGACTTTTGTATCTTTGTTTCTTGGACATTCTTCACTATACCAAGATTTTGTGAAGATTAGATTGAATTAAAAATAAGAAAATTATTCCAATTTAAGGAGCCACATGAATTTCTATTATCTCTCAATTCTCTATCGCATCATCATGTTGTTTGGTCATCAATCAAGTCAACAACTTGGGACCTAATACCCACGAACTAAATATGATGGTCATCGGATATGACAATACATACACACACACACACACACACATATATATATATATATATATATATAAACTGGTTTTATTTTATTTTATCTTCAATAAATAAAGAATTAGGATATGCATGAGATCATGTCATACATATATATATATATATACATACCTAACATTTAACTATAATATCAAATGTGGGTAACTCATCCGGATAACCTAAAGGTATTGAGGCATTAAATTTAATTTAAGTTACTTTTCTTAATTGAGGGATGATGGCAGCTCTATCATTTTCAACTATATATATATATATATATAGATATATATGAGAAATGATGTGAGCCTCGGGCCACTACTTTAGTTAGAGTCATAACGTATGTGTATACATATATGTATGTGGTTCTTAATTCATAGTAAATTATTAAATTATACATTTTAATTCATATATATATATATGTGGTTCTTAATTATTAAATAGTTATAAAGTACATTCTAGTTATATAAAAATATTTATATATATTTAAATTTTTTTATTGATCTTGTTGTAATCTCAAATACAAATTTTAAAATATTTGAATTAGTACACGATAATAATTATTTGTTCTTCTAGTTAAAAAGGTATTTATGCTTATTAAATGATATAGTATCATTTTATATGTGACTATTTTTACTTAAGATAAATTTTTATATTAGGTAGTATAGTTTTTTATTATTTTTAATAAAATTAAAACAATTAAAAATTAATTTTCCTCTCTGTAAAAACTCAAAAAAATTTATTTGTTTAATTTTTTAAAATTATAGAATTTTTATCGTGTTGAAAAATAATAAAAATTAAAATATTTTTTACATGTGAAATATAAAAAATAATGTATTAATAAATTTCAACATTTAAAAATAATATAAAACTAATTTAGTATTTTAACCAATATATGTATATATATTAATTTTATTAATGATGTAATAATAATAATAATAATTTTTTATATTAATATATTATTCGAGTACTATGAATGTATAGGGATAGGAAGATGATGGGCACGTGCGGCGTAAGCGTTTTATATGGAATCGCACGTGCGGCCACATCTGAAGTTTGTGTTGCGGATATAACATTCTCTGAGTTTACCTAATTATAAGAGAGTCCAGTCAAATCATTAAACCCTTTTCTTAATCTTCCCGCAATCTTCTTACTTTCTTCTCTTTGAAACGGCACATATATATACACTGTTGTATACATATACATATACATATACTTTGCATGCATACATATATATATATATATATATTGAAAGAGTTTTCTTGTGAAGGACAAGTAGCATACATATATATATATCTGTGTATGTATATATATGGGTATTTATATATTGTATATATATAAGAAATGAAATTAATGTTGTAATATTCAGTGAGCAAACTAGACAATATATATATATAGGTAGGCCATGATCGTATAAAGCCGCAGACAATAGAAATTGCTCAAATATAAGTATGAGTACCGTGACCAACTGGTATAAATATAATGCAAATAACGTGAAAATCTTATTAATTAGACAGTACTATATTTAATTACTTACAATATATGTGTGTATATATATATATATATATATATATATATATATATATACATATACACAAATACGTATCATCAATTCATTGCTTCCAAACATAGTGCAATATATACATATACTGTTCTGGTGAATGATCAATTAAATGTTGCTGATTGATGAAATTGCTGTTCTCTATCTTGTTTTCTCAACAGCAAAATGTATAATACATATATAATATATATACGCACACACACACATACAGATTATTATAAAGTTTATAGTTTGTAATTATTAAAAATTGAATTCTATTTTTATATCTTAAAAATTCAAAAAAACAATTATTGTATGAATATCTTTATATTATGCATAATATTTTATCTTCATGTGGTAAATATACTCATAATTAATATTAATATATTATTTTTATATTTTATATTTTTTAAATAAATAATTATTCTATATTATTAAATTCTATTTTTATATTTCAAAAAATTAAATAGATAAATATTATGTATATTATTATATTATTTTTTCTATTTAAAATTTTATCTCTATATAATATATACAATTATAAATATCATGTTAGCTTTATTTTTATATTTTAAAATTTGAGTAGATAACATTTAATATTTCATTTTTACATAGTGTATATATATATATATAATTAATATTAGTATATTGCTTTTGTTTTTATTTCAAACAATAAAAAAATTTGAATATATATATATATGTGTGTGTGTGTGTGTGCATATTGGAACTCATTTTGGGCCAAGATGGTAATGTAGTACGAGCCCATTCAATTGAGGGCCTTATGCCCCGATACAGAAGCTGGGCCTTTAAAAGATCAAACCGATCCAAGTCCCGTGTTCGATTATAATTTTTGGCCCATTCATTTATATTATGTTTTTTTCACATTTAAAAACTTCTATAAAAAAATCAAATAATAACTTTTGCCATTTAGAATAATATTAATATTATAGATTTATATTCATTTCTTATATATATAGGTGCATGCATATTAGATTTAAATTTATATCACGTTAGTTAGTAATACATTAATTAATATATAAATATAGAGTATAATTGAAAGATTACTTGCCACATAAACAGAAATATATATATATACATATATGTATATGATATTTTAAAGAGATTTTCCTAAAATTTATAAATCTAAATATGTTTTTTTTTTTTTTTTAATTGATTTCTAGAAGTTTATGGAGCTCATGATTTTATAATAATTAAAAATATATAATATTAATTTATTTTTGAGAAAATCTGTGAAGATTATGTTCTTATTTAATGATAGTAATTAAAGTTAGATTTTTATTTCAAAATCCAAAAATATTAAATGAATTACCAAAAGAGTGAATATTTAAAAAAAGAAAAGAAAAGGCCGAAGGATGAAAAAACATGTTTCCTCAGAATCAAAAAAGGCAAAAGAGGTTTCGCGGAAATTGTGCGACCCAGTGGGGTCTACAAGCTCAAACCCCGATACACACACTCTCTCTCTCTCTCTCCGAACTGGTACCTCGAAAGAAAACAAACCAGTTACAATCCGACATACCGCCACGTCGGATTGCCACGTAAGCCCGAAGAGAATAAAAATAATCAAAACCCCCCAAAACAGCGCGCCCTTTCACTTGGCGGCGCCAAAATGCAGTCTTCTCATACGTGCCCTTTCTATCCGTACCAAGACGAAGCTGCTGACGTGATAATTATTATCTGTGAGTGTTGATTAAATTAAATAAATAAATAAATAATTCTTTACTGAGACTATAAATGAGGCTGTAACTCTCATTTCGATACACACTAGGTAGAAAAGAAGGAGAAAAGAGTAAGAAAAACAGTGAGCGCCAGGCGAGAAAGAGAGATCTGCTTCAACCCAAACTCTTCACAACTAAGTCTCTGCTTAAATTATCTGCATTTTGATTTTCTTTTACTTTCCTTGTTCCGTAATTCTCGATCTTCAATTCAAGATCTATATCCATTAGTTTCGGTAGAATTTTTTTTTCTCCAATTTTTGGCTATCGGTAATGGGTTTCATCTCTACTTCTAACTTGATTCGTGTTTATCTACATATCTTTGATTTTTCCCTGTATTAATCTGTGAATATCGGGACCCATTTGTTCTGAGTTTTCGATTTTGCACGTGCAGATGTTTTTTTTTGTTTTTTTTTTTTAGTTCTGATGTTGATAGCGGAGTGCAATATATGTATCTGCGTATATATCTATCGGTTTTAGACTCGATTTTGTTCATTTTAGTTTGTGGGTCTGAAGAGAGAACCAAAAAAGGAAGTTCTAATGGGTGTGTGTTTCTGCATTTTTTTTTTAATTTTTCCCTGTATTAACCTGTGAATATCGAAAACGATTTGCCCAGATATTTCGAGTTTGCACGTGCAAGCGGTTTTTCTTTTTATTTTATTTAGTTCTGATGTTGATATCGGAGTGTAATATATGTATCTGTGTATATATCTATCAGTTGTAGACCCAATTCTGTTCATTTTAATTTGTGGGTCCGAATAGAGAACGAAAAAAAGAAGATCTAATGGGTTTGTGTTTCTGCATGTATGATAAAAACTTTGTTGCAGATCATATCAACAAGCATGGCTGATGATGATAGAAGAAGCAATGAAGAAGAACACGAGTTTGATGATGATGAACTTGGAAGTGACTTGGACAGTACCTTGCTTGATGAGGACGATGAGGAAGAAGATGACGAGGAGGACGATGACGAGGAGGACGATGAGGAGGAGGACGATGAGGAGGAGGACGATGAGGTGGAGGACGAAGATGAGCAGGATGACGCAAATTCTCATCCGGTGCAGAAGTGAGTGTTTTCTTTCAATTTAATGTTTATGTAGTTTAATCATGGTGATGGGTAAAGTTTACAATTCTTTTTTAATAATTTGTTTGTCTGGATCAGTGAACGAAGAAGGCAGGTACCTGTACCACCAGTTCAGAACAGGGTGGTTGGTGGTGGCCAATTAGGGCTTCAAGATACGAATCGTGCTCGGGTAATTAAACTTTTCTTGCTGATCTGATCTCCTAATTTTCCCTATTTTTACTGAATCTATGTAGCGACTTCATTTATGTATTTATCTGTTTAATGTTTTTTTGATAATCATTATATACATTTCACACATTATAAGTTTATTGACAAACTATTTTGATAAAACAGTAAAACCCTAAAACCACCGATCTTGAGAATGCATTCAAACCCTAAACCACCATTAATTAAAATTTCAAGAACTAAGCAAAAATTATGAACAGTATTTTGTCATGCACATGTAGTAGAGAAAGTTGTATTCAATTATTTTATAAGAAAACAAATAAGTTGATTGAATTTTTTATATATGTATATATTGATTTTTAATCATTTTATTACTTGTTAAAATTGCAGGTGGGTGACAATTTACTACCGAATTATGAGAATTTTGGTTCTCCTTCCATGTTGAGCAACCCTTCATCTCCTCTTGATTCACCGGGTTCAAGAACATCCACAAATGCTCGAGAGAATAGAGACAGGGCAAGTGACCTTTTCATGTCAATCTCATTGGCAGCTAATGTGCATCATGACAAGATTCGTGAACATGCCTTTGGAGCAATGGATGAGCTACTTAAAATGGCTTCTATTGGGGAACCATTGTGGCAATCTAAGTCATTTGATAGACCTTATGAGATTCTAAATGGCTATGAATATTTGCACATATTTGGAAGTATTGATGAAACTTTTAAGCAGATTATCAAGTTGGTCGAGGTGGGTGATTCCAGTACTTGTGATTTAAACTATGATATGCCATATAGAGAAGAACCAAAGCCTAAGCCATCTGGAATTGATCCCCTTCGAATTGAAGCTTCTCGAGATAGTGTTTTCGTCCGAATGAATGCTGTTAATATTGTTGATTTGCTCATGAATGTGGTATTATATATTTTTTCATTTATTATATCAATACTTATTTGAACTACTTGTGAAATTTTATTTATTTTAATTTTTTTTCTTTGCTTTGCATTTCAGAAACAATGGGCAATCACATTTGTCAGCATAGTCACCAAGAGCAATGTTTCTAGGACTTTTATCAGCAGGATCCGGGTTACAAAAACTACAATGGAATGCTTCAAGTGGTAATTATTAAAATGCTAGTAATTTGATGAGTTTAAACTATTTTCTAATTAAATTAAATGCACTGATTATATATATTATACTTTAAATTATTGTTATTAGATTTTATAGTTTAACTAGTATTGAGTTTGACTATAATTTAAAAACCTTCTACTATTAATATAACCTATATTGAAGCTCACTTGTACCTAGAGGAAAAATAATTTTCAAGAAAGCAAAATCTTATTTAAAGGGGATACCGTTGCTTGGAACCTCGACGGTTTTGTTACGTGCATGTGCATGTGCATGTGAATACACACGTACGCTATATATAGTCGCTATTTATGCTATATATAGTACTATAACGCCATTAACTTCTTTAATTGTTTATTTGTTATTGTTTTTTTTTTAAATTAAAATGCATATGGTATAGATAGTTTTTATTTATGATATATACGTTATTAACTTGTTTAATTGTGTATTTGGTACTACTATTTATTAAGATGTCAGCAGAATTTAATCTTCCAACGGTGCTTGTTCCTCCTCGAGAGTGTCAATTTATAAGATACTGTAGACAGGTGGACCACAGAACATGGGCAATTGTCGATGTTTCGTTAGAATCTTTATTCCCCTATCCATCAATATTGTTTCGAAGGAGGCCATCTGGTTGTATAATCCAAGAACTTCCCCAAGCTCAGTGCTCTAAGGTTCGATGAATTAAATCATATATATATTGAGATAAAAACATTCAATTGTGGTAGATAAATGCATTATATTGTTAAGATAGATACCAAACATCATCTAAAATTAAACTAAGTTTCGAGTTTGCTTCATATGGCCTGGATTAAGTTGCAGTGAACAGAGCTTTCATAACCTAAACATAATCATGTCAAACCCAACCACTAAGTGGGACAGAAAACCCAACAAAAGTTGAGAAAAAAACCTATCATGTCGAGGAAAGAGAGTTGCTCTTTATTGTCCGTGCTTCTTTTTATCTATTAATTTGTTGCAGAGAATATTAACATTTCAGGTTTGTATATATAGGTGACATGGGTTGAGCATGTTGAAGCAGATAACTCATCAGTTCATAGACTCTTTGATACACTTGTAAACTCAGGCTTTGCATTTTGTGCAACTCGTTGGCTTAGCTGTATAACTCAGTATTATGAAGAGCTCGTTGTTTTGCTATCTCGAAGCAACCCAGTCACATTTGGAAGTAAGCATATACATATACATGTACATATATATATATATATATATACACACACACGCATTATACTGCTCTTAGTTAAGCATATTTGATTTAGTTCTTGGTTTTTGTACAGTATCTATTGCACCAGCAGGGCAAACAAGTATACTGAAATTAGCAGAGAGAATGCTGAAGTTTTTTTGCCATGATATAAATGCTTCTGCTCTAAATCCATGGAAAGCATTACCCATTGAAGGAGGTGAAGATATCAAATACATGACTAGGGTTTTTGCTCTTGGTCCAGCAAGAGAGCTCTCCTACACAGTAGCTTTCACAACTTCAGTTTATCTTCCATGCGCACCTAAACAAACATTCGATTTTCTTCGAGATGAGAAAACTCGACCCATGGTATGAACATATATTAAACTAGACACTGTTTTCCAATTCAATTTCTCTTTTTTAATTATCAACAAATGTATATGTAGTGGGACATGATTTCATATGGACAAACAGTTGAAGAAGTTGCATATGTGATGGGTACTAATCCTTTTAACCGCGTCTCTATCCTGCAATCATATGTAAGTAATCTGTAATTGTAATTTTATGTTGCTAATCAAATATAATACGGGTTGTTGATTACTAATCCAATATAATTCCTTGGCAGACTTCTACAAAGAGGCCTGCAATGGTGTACTTGCAGAAGATATACAAACATGAGACCGGATCATATGTGATACATGCACCTATGGATCCTGTATCTGTAGCCTTGATGCTGAATGGTGGTAACTCTGATTGGATATCTGCTTTGCCGTCAGGGTTTGTGATATTACCCGATAGGTTGTCGATGTCGAACGAGAAGGTTGGGGGGACAATTCTCACCCTCGTGTTTCATATAATTGATAATTCTGGTAGGCTTGGTAATATACCTGCAGAAAAAGCTGATACTATTAAGGAAGTCATCATTAAAACAGTTCATTTCATTAAACATGCTTTAACAACTTCTCACTCAAATCATCCTCCTCCTCCTCCACCACCTCCACCTTTTCCATGGAATCAATTCCCGGGTGAATCGAGCTCAAACCCACAAGCTTCCATTGTGGTAAGGACTTATATATATATATATTTCTTCTTTCCTAAGTTTTAATTAATTATAATATAATAACTATTATTATTGTGATTTGTTATTGCAGTGGAAACCTAGGAAATGAGAAGGGTGGGAATATGTGTATCCAAGCAGTGGTTGTATCATGCATTATGTTTTCTTAAGCCGCTGCTAGCTTTTGTGAAACTGCTGTTTGTGTGTTATTGTTGTTGTTGTGGTAGAGCCATTTTCTGGCTTATTATTAGTAACTTTTATAACTCTTGGGTTTGTTTTAAATTTGACAATTTTAATTTAAATTATAATAGTTTGAACTTAAATAATTTCTTAAGTTTATAGGATTTAATAATTTAAACGATTCTTAAATATTAGAGAATATGTTTATTCAGTACAGACGACTCTTAAGTGTTATATTAAATTATTATTTTAACAAGTAAATTTTTTTAAAAATAAATTACGCCTATCATTAAATTTTTTGTATTATTTTTTATAGTTTACTAATATAAATAAGTACCGAGAAACTCTTATAATATACAACAATAAAAACAATATCTACACCGGGAACATAACATGTAAGACAATTGCCACCATGGTAAATCTCTATAAATTTATCCACCCAAATTTTTCCCATTAAATTAATAGTAAAGTAAAAAAATTCAAGTGAAAATTTAATTTTTAGTACTAATTATAATTTATTAAAAATTTTCAAGATTTTAATTTGCCACGTCAATACCAAAAAAAAAAAAAAAAAAAAAACAAAGGGCAATTTTATTCACACGGACAATGCGTTTAATACAAAATAAAATTAAAAAGAAAATAGAAAGAGAAAACTCAGACATATCTGATACGATTCTCTTCTCCCCTTACCGGTGATGGCGGCCTCTACTTGCAGACCGTACGCTTATTCTCAGCGCAAGTCTCTTGCTTCATCCTCTCGCCCTTCTTACACCTCGACCTCATCGAGATTCACCTTCAACTTCTCCAAATTTACTCCTCGGCCGCCCTCCAAATCCCCTCTTTCTCTCTCCTGCACGCTCACTAGGGATCCGGCTATCCAAATGGAGGACCCGGCTCAGTGGCTGAGACCCGATTCCTTCGGTCGGTTTGGCAAATTTGGCGGGAAATACGTACCGGAAACTCTAATGTATGCGCTCACCGAGCTCGAATCCGCCTTTCATTCACTCTCTGCTGATGATGTTTTTCAGGTCAGTACATTTATTTTATTGTTTGTCTTAATCGGCTGATATAGGCGCCGCTTATTTGGATCTAGATAGAATATAGAGCTTCAAATGCGCCTGTTTTGGGAATATTTTGTGTGGAATTGCAGAGAGAATTGGCGGGGATTTTGAAGGACTACGTTGGAAGGGAGAGTCCTCTGTATTTCGCGGAGCGGCTCACGGAGCATTACAGGCGTGCCAATGGCGAAGGTCCGGTCATTTACCTCAAGAGGGAAGATCTTAACCATACGGGAGCTCACAAGATTAATAATGCTGTTGCTCAAGCTCTGCTTGCCAAGCGCTTGGGGAAGAAGCGCATTATTGCTGAGACTGGAGCTGGTCAGCATGGAGTGGCAACGGCTACCGTTTGCGCGAGGTTTGGATTGGAGTGCATTATCTACATGGGTGCCCAAGATATGGAGAGGCAGGCGCTTAATGTCTTCAGAATGCGACTTCTTGGGGCTGAGGTTTGTCTTCTCTAATTTAGTTTACTGTTCTGAGGGATTGAGATTTGGGAAATGTGCATCTCTATGAGAGTTTAGTTGCTTTGGATGTCCCGTGATACAGATTATGATTCCCCAGGACACCATTTTGTAAAACACAGTTCATATGCCACTGATTCTAGGAGAGTTTTTTTGTTTAGGATCTTTGATCCTTGTTTTTATCTAGGTCACCTTAAAAGAAAAACTTTTGAACGAATTATTATCTTATCATAGTTCTCTCATTTTCAGTGTTCTGCACATATCACTGAAAGGCTAAGAATTACTCAATACCTGCTTCTTTAATGAGAAACAGTTTTCATCCACCAGCTAGTGGGGATATATTTGTCTTTATCAATATATATCTTTAGTAGACAAAGAAGCTGAAGGAAGATTTAAGATCAGATAATCAAATTGAAGTTTGAGACTTTAGGAGTCTTGTTGGAATGGTGATGTCCCATGCTTATCATCACCTCTCTTTCACGACTTCTTAAATCTCAACCTTCGTATTGAATAACAAAGGATTTACCTTGTATTGTGGATGGAAAATTCACTTCTGCTAATACTGATACTTTATATCTGCTTTCTATGATATAGGTCAGGGCAGTTCATTCTGGGACAGCCACCCTGAAGGATGCTACATCGGAAGCTATAAGAGACTGGGTGACTAATGTGGAGACGACCCATTATATTTTAGGGTCTGTTGCTGGGCCTCATCCATACCCCACAATGGTGAGACAGTTTCATGCTGTTATTGGTAAAGAAACAAGAGCACAAGCTTTGGAAAAATGGGGTGGAAAACCAGATGTGTTGGTTGCATGTGTTGGTGGAGGTTCGAATGCTATGGGGCTTTTCCATGAATTTGTCAATGACAAGGATATTAGGTTGATTGGCGTGGAGGCTGCAGGTTTTGGCTTGGATAGTGGCAAACATGCTGCCACTTTGACCAAAGGGGAAGTGGGAGTGCTGCATGGAGCTATGAGCTATTTGTTACAGGATGAAGATGGCCAAATAATTGAGCCTCACTCTATTAGTGCTGGGTCTGACTTCTATGCAGTTTTTCCATTTTTTTTCCTTTTTAGTCTTTATTGCATTTTAATCTTTATGTGCTGATTTTCCTGTAAATAACTCCACAAATCTTTATCATGACCGACAGCTTGGATTACCCTGGAGTTGGGCCTGAGCACAGTTTTCTGAAAGATGCAGGACGTGCTGAATATTACAGTGTTACAGATGATGAAGCATTGGAAGGTATGAAGATTCTATTTAGCTTCACTTATCATTCTTTTAAGGATATCCACATGCCATCCATGATGGTATTTATCCCGGTATTGTGTCCAAATATCCCCATTTCTCGACTCTGCAGTTTTGTTATAGATGGTATCTTCATTTTTGTAGCAGGAAAGGGAAGGGGGTGGTTACGCCATAACTTTTCTGCTAAACACAGTTCTGTTCTGACTTAATTTTATATTTTCTTTAGTTCTGTAATCTTCAAATATGGTGTGCATTTTCATGAGAATATGCTAAGATAGAAGCTCAATATAATTTCATCTTAAGCTCTAATGTAAAAAATGGTTAAAATCCATAATATAATTCATTTCTTGCTAATATTGCTAACTAAAATGATGGGGAGTTTTTTGTGATTGATAACCCGCTCATCCGTTTCTGTGCATTAGATCACCAATTATAGCTTGTTTATACCCCAGTTTCATTTACCTTCTCTTGTCTGTCCTAATCATATACTTTGCAAATGCAGCTTTCAAGAGACTCTCACAATTGGAGGGGATAATCCCAGCTCTGGAAACATCCCATGCATTAGCTTATCTGGAGACACTGTGCCCGACTCTCCCTAATGGAACGAAGGTCGTGGTTAACTGCAGTGGCAGAGGGGATAAGGATGTCCAGACAGCCATAAAGCACCTGCAAGTTTGATCACTTGTGCAACTGCATGTTGCCATTCGTGTAACTTAGTCGGGTGAATTATGAACGATTACCTCATTTTTACTGAGAAGGTCCAGAAGTCTTAGCCTTAGGTTCTTCATATCTGTGGGGTAATTTTATTTGGCAGTTGAAGCTTGATAGACATTTTTGTCTCTCTCTCTCTCTCTCTCTTTCTCTCTCTTTGGAGATCTTTGTGTACCAATCTTGTCTGTGTTGTTGGATTCATTTCGCAATAAGACACCGGTTGCTGTGTTTTGAAGTTGAGTAGTTTAGTAATTCAGAAGAAAAACAAATGGGTTTATGGGGTATCTTCAAACCACAGTTGTTGAAAACTGAACTCTGAATTGCAAATCACAATGTGATTTAAGCTCTAGAATTGATACAAGTAGTAAAATTCAGGCTTCTGTTTAGTTAACTGGAAAAGTTGAGAACTAATTAAATTCACCAACATTTGGAAAGTGAATGCTGGTGAAGCCAGGTTTCTTTTTAAAGCAAGCAGATTTGGAAAGTAAACGCCCTTTTCTTTAAAAATAAAAAAGGGAATGTACTTTCGAGAATTGCTTTTTTCCTTAACATGAAAGAGAAGGGGGAATCTGGTAATCATATTTTATTATGATTTGTGAATTTTTTGAGGGTTAGCTGATAAAATTTGAGCTTAAGAAGGAATTACTAGTAAATGGAGGTAATTTGTGATCCTCGTTTCGCCCCCCTAAATTTTTAAGTGGTTTACAAGGAGAGGAACTGAATTATACCAATATCACATAAATATATATATATATATATAATGTTTACATACACTTATGCG